CCTCATGGTGATGATCTCTAGCTCCCTGTGCCCTGTTCCTGTTTCCTCCTGTGACTCTGACCTGTGATTTCCTGTTACCGACTTGGCTTGCTCCTGGACCTGTCTACTCTGCTTTACCCCTGAACTGACCTCGGCTTGGCTTACGGATACTCTCTCTCTCGCTCCTCTGTGTATGACCTCGGCTATCCCATCTGACCACGTCTGCTCTGATACCCACCTGGTACCTGACCTTGGCTTGAACCGACTAACCAGTAAACATCTAAATCCCGAAAGGGCTTATATAACACGCACAGGCGCCTCCTGTCTGTAGACCTATCTCCATGCACCAGCTGTGCTTCTGAGTGGACCACCAACCAGCACTCCTATAGGCGACCTGTGCAACTTTGGGCCTGACTCCCGCTGTCCCACTCTCAGGGAAGTCCGGAACTTAGCCGCAAGGGAAGCCCTCTCTCCACTGGCCTCCATCACCAGGTACGTGATACATTGCATATCCTACAAAAGAATAAAGGAGGAGAGAAATCGGGAATTATTCTGGCAGTAGATGCTGAGAAAGCTTTTAATAGAGTGGACTGGGGATTTATGTTCGATACGTTGAGAACATTAGGAACCAGACCTAGAATGATACAGTGGATAAAAGAGTTATATATGAGAGATCCCTCAGCTGCAGTGAACGGTTCATTATCAAAATTTTTTAAGATGTATAATGGCACAAGACAGGGATGTCCCCTGTCCCCGTTGCTGTTTGTTGTTATCTCCATGGAACTGTTATTGGCAACTGTTAGAAATAGTGTAGATGTCAGGGGAATGTAGACAGGGGATATTGAACATAAAGTGGCAGCATATACAGATGATATGCTGTTCTGTATTAAAAATCCAGATTAACATTACCGAACCTATTGAAAGAATACGGGGAGCTATCCAACCTGAAAATGTATCCCTTGAAAAGTGAGATATTAAACATAAATGTTCCAAAAACTGAGAAAAAAAATTTTTACAAAAAGAGTTCCCCTTTAAATGGAGAGAAAAAGAATTAAAGTAGTTGGGAATAAAATTAACATCATCGTATATAAAAAAATTTGTATCAGGCAAATTATATCCCACTAATAAACAAGATAAAAGATGAACTGAGGAAAGTCACTACAGGAGAACTGTCGTGGATAGGTCGTATAAATATAATTAAGATGATCATAGTACCAAAAGTGTTATATAAATTTAATATGATTCCAATATATCTTCCCTGGTCCTTCTTCAGGGTTCTCAAAAAAAATTATACTTAGATATGTGTGAACTAACAAAAAACCAACAGTCAAGTATGAAGTTTTATGCAGCAATAAAAAAAGAGGGGGATTAAATATGCCAGACTTTAGGAGGTATTATAACACGGTACTATTATCACGAATTGTGGATTGGATGCACAATATAAAGGGGGAGAAGTTGGGTAAGAATGGAAAGCGCACTTAGTAAGGCACCATTAGAAAAGTTAATTTGGATATCACAGAAATTTTGCGCTTGGGATGAGGACACAAGCACTTTGACACAGAATGTATTTAGGATTTGGGTTGAAATACACAAGCAGAAGGAATGGAAATTTAATTCACTGTCAATCCCATTGGCGGGAACTAGTTTTTTCCCACCCGGAAATGACAATATTTTAGGGAAATGGATAATGGATAAAAATGCACGATTAAAATATATTGTGGATAGAGGAGTATTATGTTCATTACACGAGTTGAAGAGTAAAAAGGAAATATTTTCTACACGGGATAAGTGGCAATATTGCCAAATAAGACATTTTTTGTTACAAAACGTCCACAACCACTAAGGAATGAGGATGAAATGTATCCACTAGAGCAACTGTTGAGTATAAATGGAGTACAGAAACTTAATACCTCAATGATATGTAGAATACTTGCTGAAATACATGGACCAACATCCAAAACATGTTTGGAAAAAGTGGGAAATGAAATTAGGAACAAAACTGAATGAGCAACAAAAAAATAAAATGTTTAGTTTAACACATGGGGCGGTGAATATGAATATAGTTGAAATTAATTATAAGTGCCTAGTTGGATGGTATATTACACCCAATGTGATGCAGGCCAGAAATTACATCTCAGTGCTGGAGAGGATGTGGGAGTAAGGGCACAATGGCACATATCTGGTGGGAGTGTCCCAAAATACAAGAGTTCTGAAGGGAGATAATGCAAAATGTTTTTTTTGATCTGTGTACTGAACTGTTGCAGAGAAGAGAAGACTGCAGATAAACAGGTACAATGTACGCAGGAGGATTTTTTCATCTCTTTGTATCACCTGAGGCTAGTCATTTGGTATATGCAAGGGCGTACTTGCTGCGAGGGAGCATTTTTCACTGGGGGTGGCATCGCCCTCAGGGAAGATACTTTGTGTTGCCTAGGGCAGCACATACTCTAAATACACTCCTGTGTATATGTGAATGTTTACAACCACTTTAATCAGTATTATCAGCAATGGTATTCTTAGTATAAAGCAAAGAGCGGTAAGCAAAGGGAAGTGTTCAAGGGGGCCAATCATAGCTCACCTTTTACCAAACTGATGGCTATAAATTGATAAACGTTTTAAATCGTACAGGTTTCTATGGGTTACATCAGGAGTCTAAATTGTTGCTGAAGACATATATTTTATCGCTTTTAGGTTGGTTGCGATGGGTTACTGCAAACGTGTACTCTCCACACAGTAAATAACTGGTATATTACTGCTACAAAATAGTGGATCAACAAAGACTGGCGCATGCCAACAAATATGCCAGTTTCTATATGTCTACTCAGCTAGCAGTGTCTGTGACAAAATTAATAAAACACCAATTTCTTAATTTGGCATATGGTGGTGCACCAGATTAACTCCCACTTACTTTGTATGCGCCACCATTTTGGCTCATAATTGAAGTTATGTTTACTGCAGTATTTACAGCACTCTGATAACAGACATCCTATAAATGTCCAATTGCGTGCACCAAAATAATGACTAATGTGCCAGAGTATAAATAGTTCCAAAATATTTACTATTACCATAATATTATAAATACTGTGATGAACACAACTTCAGTTTTGCACCAAAACTTTGGCACACGCAGAGTAAGGGGGCTCACATCTGTCTGAAAACCACCATGTGATAAATTCATGAATTTGTTACAGGAATGACTAATTAAGTAGGTATTTAGAAATGGGCACTTTTTTGTGTGTGCCAGTCTTTGCTTATCCACCCCAAAGGGGGAAAATTAACAAAGAGTAGTGCTTGCACCACGCTTCTAAACATAAACAAGAGTAGATGCTGCTCCTAACAAAGGGGAGCAAGCCCTTTTGTTAATTTGGAGCTATCAGTTCTCTGTTCAGTGTTGTATGTGACAGAGAAAGCACAGATAATAGGAGAGCTGGAACTGCAAGCTCTGATCTCTGCCCATTCCCGCTCCCTGCTCAACTCAGAGCAGGAAGGGAAGAATAGGGTTGTTAACCCTGCAGGCTCTGCTTATGTGGTACAATCACTACACGGGCAGAGATAGGGATGTAAGCTGTCAGACCTGGCAGGGATAACTATGTTAATCAGAAAAAGACCCTGTGTCAGGAATGGGCTCACCTGCCGTGTGGGCTGCAGTACCGGTGCTTGCCAGCGGGTGTGTCAGGAATGTGATCACCTGCCGTGTGGGCTGCAGTACCGGTGCTTGCCAGCGAGTGCTTTCAGCAGCCAGGATCTCACTCCTGCAATCAAGCCATCACCTGAGGCTGATTGCAGGAGGTATATTTAAGCAGCACCAGGCCTGCAATCAGTGCCTTGGTGTTTTCCCATGTGCCCTGTTCCTGTATCCTGCCTGCTTGACTCTCCTGCTTGACTCTGACTCTGCTAGAACTCCGCCTGCACTGACCCCGGCTATTCCTGACCATTCTCCTGCCTGCTCCTGTTGTACCTTATCTGCCCGATTGTTCCTGACCCGGCCAGTCCTGACCACTCCACCTCTCCAGCCCCGACTACAATTGTTCATCTCTATCATTTAGTTGGAGGTTTGGTTTTTGGTTGCATGTGCGTTTGTTTATTTGTGCTCCTAATACATTTTAATATTATTTCATCATTTCTGAAGCCTGCTGTTCCCTGTGTCAGTCCACACATCTCTGGTCATACCTGGATCCCTGACATACCACCAAGGCCAGTCCTGACCAGAAGTGGCTGCACAGGGAAGCCATCTTGGCTTGTTGTGAAGGATGCATCCGGAGGAGGTTGTGTATTTGTCTCTGCTAGTCTTAGAAGACAGAGAATACGGCTATAAGATTCTGAAGGAGTATGCCAGGGATCAGCTGCTAGAGTGCATGCGGGTTGCTCATTCCCTAGTAGATCAGGGCACGGTGTTTTCTGAGGTGCAGCCATTGATCCAGGCTTGTGCTGAGTTGGCTCTGTCCAGTACCCCTGAAAGCAGGGATGACTTTTCTCCGCCATTCAGTGCAGATCAAGTAGAGTCGCTGGTATGGTTGTTGGAGGATGATCCGGATTGCTTCCTTGAGCATTATTCAGCATGTCCACCACATGTGCTTGTGGATTGTATAAACGCAGTGCAGTCTTTGGTCAGACAGGCTACGTGTAAGCGAAGCTTTGTTCAACCAGTATTACAGACATGGTCAGATTTGTTACACCCAGCCTCAGTCAGCTTGCAACAATCCAGTCCCTCTTCTAATCATTCATCTTCTCAAAGCTCTCTCCCTTCTTTCCCCACAGCACCCCCAGTTACGGCCCAGTATGCCCTGCTATCAACCACATATCAGTACCCTGTTCCCACTCGCTGCACCTATCCTGCCTTTAATCCTGTAAAGAAGTCCTCTGTAGCAACTGCTCCCTCCTCTGTTCCATCCTCCAGCTCTTCTCTGTCTTCAGCTGCTCCCTCCGTTTACAGCCCTGCATTTACTTGCAGTGCTTCAGTAACTAAACCCAAGAAGAAGCGAAAATTTTTTCCCACCAGTACCATCCTGCCAGTATCCAAACCGGTCAGCCTGCTGTCTGAGAACCCGCCTTCTGTTATCCCGCCTGATGATCTGACGCCCGCTGTCCAGCCTGATGCCTCAACACCCGCTGTCCTGCCAGATGCCTTGACGCCCGCTGTCCTGCCAGATGACCCGGTGCCCGCTGTCCTGCCAGATGACCCGGTGCCCGCTGTCCTGCCAGATGACTCGGTGCCTGCTGTCGAGCTTGATGCCTCGGTGCCCGCTGTACAGCCTGATGCCTCGGTGCCCGCTGTTCAGCCTGATGCCCGATGACCCAGTGTCCGCTACCTGGCCTGATGATCCTACCCGGCCTGATGGTCCTGCCCGGCCTGATGGTCCTGCCCGGCCTGATGACCCTATCCAGCCTGATGACCCTATCCAGCCTGATGACCCTATCTAGCCTGATGATCTGGTGCCCGCTACCCGGCCTGATGATGCTATCCAGCCTGATGCCCCGATGTCCGTTATCCAGTCTGATGCCCTGGTGTCCGTTATCCAGCCTGATGCCCCGGTGTCCATTATCCAGCTTGAGGAACCGATAACTATCACTCGGCCCGATGACCCGGTACCTGCTGTCCAGCCCAATGACCCAGTGCCTGCTGCCCAGCCTGATGACCCGGTGCCTGCTGCCCAGCCCAATGATCCGGTGCCTGCTGCCCAGCCCGATGTGCCTCTGCTCGCTGCCCAGCCCGATGTGCCTCTGCTCGCTGCCCAGCCCGATGTGCCTCTGCTGCTCTGCCCAGCCCGATGTGCCTCTGCTCGCTGCCCAGCCTGATGTGCCAGCCCCTGATTCCCAGCCTGCTTCTGGAAATCCTGTGTCCAGCAACCTGCCTCCCTGCTGTCTCCTACAAATAGATAGGTCTACCAGCAGGAAACCCAACTGACTCCAGCAGTGGGATATCCAGCCAGTTACCTGACCCAGGCGGTGGAACATTTTTGCCATTAAGGACTGTTTGGAGCGTCCTGAGGCCGCTCCTTGAGGGGGTGTACTATCAGGAATGGGCTCACCTGCCATGTGGGCTGCAGTACCGGTGCTTGCCAGCGGGTGTGTCAGGAATGGGCTCACCTGCCGCGTGGGCTGCAGTACCGATGCTTGCCAGCGGGTGCTTTCAGCAGCCAGGATATCACTCCTGCAATCTAGCCATCATCTGAGGCTGATTGCAGGAGGTATATTTAAGCAGCACCAGGCCTGCAATCAGTGCCTTGGTGTTTTCCCATGTGCCCTGTTGTCCTGATCCTGTTTCCTGTATCCTGCCTGCTTGACTCTCCTGCTTGACTCTGACTCTGCTAGAACTCCGCTTGCACCAACCCCGGCTATTCCTGACCATTCTCCTGCCTGCTTCTGTTGTACCTTATCTGCCCGATTGTTCCTGACCCGGCCAGTCCTGACCACTCCACCTCTCCAGCCCTGACTACAATTGTTCATCTCTATTATTTAGTTGGAGGTTTGGTTTTTGGTTGCATGTGCGTTTGTATATTTGTGCTCCTAATAAATGTTATTATTATTTCATCATTTCTGAAGCCTGCTGTTCCCTGTGTCAGTCCACACATCTCTGGTCATACCTGGATCCCTGACACCCTGCGCCAGTTTCTATTACACTCTGAAACAGAAACTGGTGTGGGTGGTGCAGATCAACCTAAAACAGGTCTATCTATTTAGTTAATGTGGCGCACACCACTGCTGACCTGCGCCATTATAATGGTGCAGGAAGCTTAGTTAATTCCCCAGAAAATGTTTTTAAGTTCAGACACATTTCCACAGTAGAAGCGTTATAAAAAGGTAACTGATGCAGCGAAGGCCATGGTTTCCCTTATTTTACTGCAGTCCCTAGTTTCCATGGTGATGTGTGTTTTGAGGACAGTTATAAATAGAGTGGCAGTCAAGTTGTTAACAGTGACCAGTGGTGTGCTTCTAGTTAAAATAACTAGGGAAATTCTACACAGCACCAACCAAAGCAACTCAAGGGTTTGAAATATGGATGAGCTAATTAGAGAGGGTACCAGGTACCTTTATGCATGGTTAGTGGTACCTATAAGAAGCAATCAAATTCTCCCTTACATGTTTCTAGAGTGTGGTACACTCTACAATGAGAAACTGATTGGTTCCTTCAGGTCTAACCAATCTACAACACTCTTTAGAATTCCATTGCGCCTCTGCATGAAAAATACCTCTGCAGGTGACAAATTTACGAACGGGAAGTGGAATAGGAGGTCAAGGATGAGTGAAAAAGGGTGGCAGCAATGAGGACATATTAGCAGAAAAAAGAAAAAGTACAAAAACACCAAGAACCTGGAGCAAGCACCATATGAACACTCCATCTTCAATGCAGTTGAGCACCTCCTCGCCGCTGGAGCTGTTACTCAGATAGAGCACAGGTCATGGAGTTTTATAGTTGGGTGGGAAGAGCCTGATGGGTATTTAGAGAAACTAGTTTCCCATCAGGTCTACTCCCCTGGTGAATGAGAGTTGGCACAGGACAGATCCATAGCCAATAGACAGCCTGCTACTGTTTGTGGAATCTGCCTACTACCGACTGTCAATTACAAGGACACCTAATGGGAAACTTGTGTCTTAGATTTCGCATTAGGTTCTGCCCACTGCCAATGTCACTGGTTGCTAGGATCCTGTCGACTGTGAAACGAACAGCGTCCTTGACAACCAGAAAACCTGCCACTCTACTACACAGCATACAGAGTCGGGCACTCTGACAAGTGTGAGTTGGTTTCAATTACCTCCAGTTTCTTTATCTACAAACAGAAGGTAATTCATTTTTAATAGCAGCCAAATTGGCACTATTAACCACTTGCCACCCGGGCCAATCCTGACATTTTTCACATATATGTAAAAACTTGCATTTTTTTTTTTTATAGGAATTTATTTGGAACACCCAAACAGTAGATATTTTCTGAAAGCAGAAAACCACAATAGTGGTTGTTGCAGTTTTTAATGCACAATATTTGCGCAGCAGTTTATCAAGTGCAAATTTTCAGGAAAAATTACACTTCAAGCAGTAGGAAACCGCAGGTAAAAAAAAAAAATAAATCCCCTGCGAGGTAATTATTTAAGGTAACTTATCTTAAAACAAAGCTCTCCAGTGGCACGCTGTCACAGCTGCAGAGGCTTCTATCTTTACCCAGTCTTCCTTCTGGGTTCGCAAGCTCTGGCTGTCTGACTAGCAGAGCTGGGATGATGTCAGTCCCGTGCCACGGCACAGTATTCTGAAGGAATGGCACAGGTATGCTGTTCCTCCAGAGTGCATGCGCCAGCTCTAAAAAAAAAAAAAAAATTGCGAATATCTCCTAAACAGTGCACGTTTAGGAGATATTAATTTTACCTACAGGTAAGCTTTATTATAAGCTTACCTGTAGGTATAAGTTAAAAAAAAGAAAGCGTTTACTACCACTTTAAATGCATCTTAGTACACACAAACACAATACCCATTTCTTGTAAAAATAAAAGATGATGTTGCACCGAGTTGTAAATAGATACCAAACATGTCAAAATTCTGAATTTCGCAAGCCTGTGAAATGGTGACAAACTATGATACCTAAAAATCTTCATAGATGATGCTTTAAAAGGTTACCAGTTTATTGTTCGATTAATTGCTCTCACTCTGACAATCACGATGATACCACACATGTGTGGAGCAATCACCATTAACATATGCATACAGGATCTACATGTGCGTTCAAAATGTGTGAGTGAGTGGGTAGGGGGTCTGGGTTTCAGGGGCACTTTTATTTTGGTATTATTTTACTATTAATTTTATTTAAATGTATTTTTTTTTACACTGTTATTTATTTTCTATTCACCCCTACCTTCTAATAGCATGGGCAGAGACAGGTACTCTTTATTGAGAGATCTGGGGTCTATTGGACCCCTGATCTCTCCTCTTCCCTCCAAGGCAGCTGATCAAACAAGATCGGCTTGATCGCCTGCTTATCTGGCCAATACATGTTGCTTCCGGAACCAGTATGTGGAGGAAAAATGCTCCTCCCTATCCTCTGTCTGCAGCTGGCCTGACAAAAAGTAGTAGTCCTGGGCTCCCTAGTAGTAATTGGGTGGCTGTAGAGCCACTCTGATCACTTTTACATGGAAGCCCATTACTGGTTGCATATTTTGATATCAGGATCATGGCTGCAGCTGCCCTGGCATAACCACTTTTTCCAAAAGGACATTCAGATATATACTAGGGATGGGAAGTGATTAAGGACTATGTGAAAGCCACTGAAACTGATGTCAAGGATTTTTTTTAATCTGATGCAGGCCATTTTTAAGGGCCATACAGCCAGGAAAGTGTTGCTAGTGCTTTATTCAATTCCCATTATATTGTCATTGCCTCTGGGAAGTGGTAGACACCTTTTGCTCTCAGTTTTGCACCCACAATTGAAAGTCCCAATTCTGCGTACCATTGTTCCTGTCCACTGAGTTTCTTCCCTTGTTATCTAATTCTGGAAGTGATCTGCTTCCTCGTAAATCTGCGATGATATAGGTATGCTTTCAATCAGATCTAATCATCGCTTTCAAAACACACCAATCTGTTTTATTTTGCACAAATAAGATGAATTTTGTAGGCACTCTGCAGCCAAAATTGAAGTTTATAACGAAGAAAGAAGCAATTTTTGCTGTTTGTGACTTCTGTCTTGAAGTTTATATTCCCCCAGAAAGTATGTTGTTGCATCATTTTACTATATTACCAGGTAGATAAAGCATAGAGATTGTGACAGAGTAGCACAATTCTCACAGCAGAATGTGACATCATTCGGTTTATGGGACGTTTTTCACTCTTACAGACATTACTCTTTTACACACTTTTTTGGGCTAATTTTTGCTGATGGGTTGCAGTTTTCTGTCATTTTATACGATAGAAATCATTACCAATAAAACTCCTGAGGTGGAACTAGAATGCCAAATTCAACCAGCACAATTCAATACCAATTAATGCACAACCAGCAAAACTTTGTTTATTATACAGTGCTCAGGATTTCTGAGTTTTAAGTTTGTGCTAATTTAATAGATGACACCACAACCTCTTCTGTGCATTACAGACTAATACTAAAAATGTCACACAGCTTGGGAAGGTGAAATAATTCAAGGGAACTATATATCTCTTCTTCCTCTTTATATTAAGATAAATTGGTGCATTATTGGGGACATTCTCACCTGAGAGTATTTTTCAGATGTTCAAAAACCTCAATATTTAGGTAGTTTGTGGCTCAATTTCACCCGCTTGCTCCAGGCATGAAAAGCATCGTATTATGATCTAGCAGGATGGAGAAGGCACACCATCACTTTTTACATCGTTCCCTACTAATGGTCTCCGAAGAGCATCGCAGGCTACATATTCCGGAACATTCCAGATGTCCAAATTGTACTATAATCACCACCATTCAATTCCCTCTTAAATATATGACCACCAAGGGGTCTGGGAAACAAAACATGGGAGCGTATTT